TTTGTGTAATTGATTCAATTATGACATATGCATGAATATTCAGAGAGTTCAGTCAGTACATATCGTAATCTATACTTTTTCTTGTCTCAGGTGAATGGAATAGTGAATTTACGCGGTTAAAGGTTCAGTCAGCAATTAAAATGAATCCCTTGCATTATTAGATTATGATATATATTCTATAATAGCAATTAAAAATTTGAATATTAACGCACATATTTATATATATAAATATATATACTCTTTTTTGATTAAAAACTGCTTATGATATTCCGCGGGGGTTTTTTTCTAAACCTTACTTAACTTACCTGGGCATCTACAAAAAAAAAAAAAGAATGAATATAGGATGCTTTTTGAATTCGGTTGAAATTATGAAAAATGAAGTTGATATCTTCTTTTAATTTAAATTTTTATATTTACAAAATATTGGGTTTTTAAACAGGAAAAGAGAAAGATGGTGTACAAAGTCAATAGAAGAAATTGATTTGCATAATGACTTTACTCTGGGACGGAAGGATTCGAAACCTCCGAATAGCGGGACCAAAACCCGTTGCCTATACCGCTTGGGCTACGCCCATTTCGATTTTTATTCAAGACTATTAAAAAGAGTAATATTTTGCTTACTGGTTGTTCGTCCAATTCAATTTAAGACAAAAATTAAATAAGTAGATTACATGGTGCTTAGGATTTTGACACGTCTCGATAGGCAAATCAAACTGACTTTATTGATCATTACATAGAATTCAATTAAGATATTGTATGAAAATATTATTTCTTTAATTCTCATAAGAGAATAAAAGGATTTTTGATTGAGTAGGTAAATTCAAAAAAAAAAAAAAAGTCTTTTTAGGACTATCTTTATTTATTTTTTTCCTTATATAAAAAATAGATTAAATAACTCAATCATAAATAAAAAAATTTATCCACAAGAACACCAATTTCTTTTTAGGCTTTTAATATATTTAATTTGATCTCTGTATTTTTGGTGTTTAATGTCTGGTCCTTTTTTCAATGCACTTTTTTTAGTCGCCCCAAAATTGGCCAGGGGAGGCCTTACGCCCTTTTTGAATGCCAATCGTTTAGTAGTAGATGTTATTGCCCCATAATACGCGGCTTTGCTTTTGCTTCCTCTTATGCCTTTTTTGTTTTGGCAAGCAGCTCGTAAGTTTTCGAATGAAATGAAAAAATGATTGAAAAATTCTTAATACTGTCCTTAGAAATATTCAATTGTGATTTTTGATTCTTTCCAGACATTTCAAAAAAGATCAAAAATAAAATCTTACGTAGGAACGTCAGGACTGAAAGTACGAACTATCACTATCATAGACTTTTTTTTTGGAAAGAATCGTGGAATTTAGGATTCGGAGTTCATCCAAAACCAAAATATCTAAATGTTTGGTATGCTAAATCTGTTTGAGAAAATGTTGGTGATGGGCAAATCGTTGTGTAGAAATATGAAAAAAAAAAGACTCTAGGCTATTATCTTAAGTTTACCAAATGTATCTTTGCTGAAAAAACTTTTTTTTTTTTTTTCTAGAAAAAAATAAACGGCACTGGATTTATTGGTATCAAATTAGCTTATATTGGTATAAAAATAGAGAATCGTATTCTCCATTTTTTTTTGAAAAAAAAAAGTTAAGATCTTGGAGATTGTTAATGCTTTACTCCAAAAAAAATCAAACTTTTGTATACACTGTAGTTATTATTTCTTTGTTTCTCTCTTCAATATTTGGATTCCTATCTGTAATGATCCAGGACTTATATCGCGGGACGTGAAGATAAGAAAAAGAAAGGTTTTTTAATTGACTTTATTTAATTAGTGGGAATGATGGCCACTTTACATAGGATTTTAATCCGCTCAAAAGTAGAAGGGAAAGGAGATGGATGCGGGAACCCCTCGGTACGATTAACTTGTACAATGGATTAGCAATCCAACGCTTTAGTCCACTCAGCCATCTCTCCTAATCGAAAAGTGATACTTAATTAGGTTCCGTTAGACAAAAAAAGACTTAAAAAACCTTCTACACTTTATTCTTAATTCTTAAAAAGCTATCTTTTTTTGTTTTTGTATAGATTATTCTGTATTATTATTATATATATATATATTTTCATTTTCTATATTTTATTATATATATAACTTTATATAAGTTTTTTATAGAACTTTCTCAATAATTTTATATTACATAAAAAATGTAGATAAAGATTAGATAAAGAAAAGGCTCGAACTCGAAAGAGAAATAAATAAAACCACAATAATAGAAATAGAAAATACTTTTTTGATTTTGTCTCGTCCAAACACAAGTAAAAGACCTTTTTTATTTTAATAGCCTGGCCTGGTAAGTCCCCAGCCGGGCCTTTTTTTGTTAAAGTAAAAAAAAAAAAGAATCCGCTTTGACTAATTTTATTAAGTCTACGCTACGAGATTTTTAGAATTTTTTTTCAGATTTTTTATTAGCACTCTGGGGGCTCGATTACTTTGTTCGACAAAAGTTCATTTTATATGCAATAATTTCTTTAGTAGCGGGTATAGTTTAGTGGTAAAAAGTGTGATTCGTTCCTTTAAAGACGTGGGCCCTTTAATATTAAAAAAAGGGTGCTCGTCGGTTTGATAGACTCTTTCCGTATAAAAAACTTTATTTCTAAGAGAGAAAGGATTGGAATCCTCTTACGACTTGTCAATAAGCGATTCAAGTGAAAATTATAGACTTATCCGTGATTTGGTATCGCATAGTACCGCCATGCATTGTAATATTTTGGCTTATGAAATTCTCGAAACACTAATTTTTGATGTATGACTATTTTACAATTCATATAGTATCCACTAAGTATGAGGATTCCATGGATGAGAAGTTCTATGTAAATTCCTCTCTTCACGTTAACTATCTTCAGCTTTGTTGGGAGCCTATTTATTGCTGGGTATATAAAAAATTGAAGCTAAAATACGCTACTATTAAACTAGAACTATTGGGTTTACTTTAAAGACATCTGACATATTAAATATTGTTTAGCTCGGTCGGAATCAATAATACTTTTCCTAAACGGATCCTGTAAGATAGGAAACAGCATAGAACCGATACGTAACTAGAAATATTGTTGCTGATTTCTCCTTATTCTATCTTTCTAGAAGGATCATCTAGATAGCAAAAATTTCTGTTGTGAAAGCATCCAGACGGAAAAAAAAGCTAACATAGATGTTATTGGGTCGAATTTTGATTTCGAGTCCCGTCTTGTTTTATTTGGAATTCTCGCCAATCCATCATAACAGGAGCCGAATGAAACCAAAGTTGCATGTTGCGGTTTGAATTAGAGACGTTTTAAAATATAAAAATGATCCATGGGCGTCGACTAAAACCTTTAGCGCTTCCAAGCTAACACGATGCGCAGGGTTCGATTCCCTACATAACCCGCTCTAAAATTATAAATTTCCCAGGCTTTTAATATAGAAAAATTTTCTCTATTATAATTATCTAATATAGCAATTGCGTATTCGAATTCATTTCAATACGCAATTGCTATTTAGATTCGCACATTTTTTTTTTTAACAATTGTAAAGTTAAAAAAAGCGAAAAAGAGCGTCCATTGTCTAATGGATAGGTACATAGGTGTGCTTCTAAAATGCTTTGGTATAGGTTCAAATCCTATTGGGACGCAATATCAATATAGATATATCTATATTGAGTATTTATATATTATTTTATTAATTTCTATATATTATAATTTGCTATATGATACTATATTAGAATATTATTTTCTATATATTGATAATTTCTATATATTATATAGAATGATTATATAGAATATATTTCTTACTTCATATATTATAAAAAAAAGATAAGAAAGAAAATAGAATAAGAAATTCTCTAATGCTTTTAAGATTTAATATTAAACAACATATTCAGTTATATACTACTTTATATTATAGATATTACTTAACTTAATTATACTTAAATATTTTTCTATTTTATAGAAATTTCTAAAATTGAATTGAAAGAATAAAATTGACTTAAAGAATAAAAAATAAGAAAAGAAATCAAAATAAGAAATGATCCATTTATTTTTTTTATACTTTGCTCCTGAAGTATAAAACGTTCTTAGTTGCTCTTGAAATACCTTCTTCAAAAAGCTTTCTGCTACAGCGGTTTAATGTCTTCGGTAGAGGATATTATTTCCTTGGAACTGCGGTTTTATTCGTTTTTAAATAAGTTGCGTAACTGAACGAGAAGATTTTTTTCTACTTGGTCCAATTTCTAATCCATCCAGATAACCATTTGTTCCGCGTCATAAATAGTCATTACCTGTTTCTTCGACTGCTTGAGAGGGGGTTGATTGGGATTGTGCTTCAGCAACTCACGCAATCGATTGACCTAGTGCCAATTGATGTATGAGTAGCTTGATGCGAGATCAGAAGAAAATTAGTGGCAAAGGCTTTCTGTAATTCCGCGAATTGAGCATAATTCCAAATTGTAAGTTTCTAGCTACATGTCTTCATAGCTGTAATTTTGAGACGAGAGCGATCTTACTCTCGAGACAAGAAATCCCTCCATTAATAGCAGGTCCTGATTCCAGCCTTAAAAAGATCGGCGGCTAAGACTGATTGGTCTCCATCTGTAATGGAAATTACATGAGTAGGAATATAAGCTGAAACATCTACATGACTGGGTCTCTGACCGATTGTCGTAAGGCCAGAGTTCATACTTCTATCACCTAATTGAGAGCTTAATTTAGCAGCTCTTGATAAACGCCGTGAATGTAAATAAAACAACATCGCCCGGATAAGCTTCACGACCCGGACGGTCTTAGTAATAGAAGAGGACATTTGGCGATAAGATTGTGCTCTTGTTTGGAAAGATACTTCATAAATGATTAAAGTGGTTGTTCACGGTACATAAATATTCAGCTCAAGGCTGCTCCTGTATAAGGAGCGAGATATTGTAACGTAGTGGGGAATCGGCGGCTTCAGCTACCCACAATCGTGATTCATTGCCCCTCTCATGTAAAACTAGTCAATCCCTGAGCCACGGAGAAGCTTTTTGACCAAAGCCACATAGACACATATTAATTTTGACATTGCTGATTGAGAATTGTATCTGTGCTACTGCTGTTTTACCAGTCTGTCTGTCACCAATAATTAATTCTCGCTGTCCGCGTCCTATAGGGATCATGGAATCAATAGCAATAAGTCCTGTTTGAAGAGGCTCATATACAGAACGTCTCGAAATAATACCTGGGGCAGGAGACTCAATTAACCGAGATTCAGAAGCTGAAATCTTACCTCGACCATCAATAGGGTTAGCCAAGGCGTTTATAACACGCCCCAAATAAGCCTCACTCACCGGTATCTGAGCAATTTTTCCCGTAGCTTTGACTGAACTTCCTTCTTGGATCATCAAACCGTCACCCATTAATACAACACCAACATTATTTGATTCTAAATTAAGGGCAATACCTATAGTACCCTCTTCAAATTCTACTAATTCACCTGCCATTACTTCATCAAGACCATAAATACGAGCGATGCCATCGCCCACTTGAAGTACGGTACCGGTATTTACAATCGTTACTTCTCTATTATATTGCTCAATACGTTCACGGATAATATTACTAATTTCGTCGGCTCTAATGGTTACCATGAGTATTGTCCTAATTCTTTTTTGGAAGAAAAAAAAATAATGCCTATCATAATCGTAAGGAAAGGACTAATCCGTTATTTCTTTCATCGTACCAAACATACCAATATTTGCATTAATAGTACGTAAATGTAACTCATTACTCAAACAACTATTTAGGGTTCCTATAGCTCCTTGTAAAGCTTGTTGGAAAACCCGTTCGCGGACTTGATTAATTGTTCTTTGTTGCTCAAAAAGAATGGTTTCGTTTTTGTAATTTTCTAATTGTTTCAAAGTCCTATAAGTTGAATTAATCAAATTTAATTTTTCTCGTTCGATTTCAGAGTATCCATTCGCGCGAAACTGATCCGCCTCCGTTTCTACTTTACGCAAGCGAGCTCGGGCGTTTTCTAATTGTTGAATAGCTCCTTCACGTAGTTCTTCTGAATTTCTAATAGTACTTAATATTCTCTGCTTTCGGTTATCTAATAAATCATTTAATGAAAGTAGATTATCTTTCCATTCAGTAAAAAAAAGTTCTATGATCCCTTCCCGAACCAAACATGAATCTTTCGATTCATTTGGCTCTCATGCTCACTTATCCCAATCATTTATCAATTATTTATGAGACTTTCATTCCCATATTTTTCATGTAATGAGCCTATCCTCTCCCGATTTTTTTGTATTCAATTCATATTTAATATATATATTTCTATCGAAAAAGATCACCAATCCAAGACAAAAATATTCAGAGGATTCTTCTGACCAATAAAAAATCAATAATTGTCAGCAAAGTTGTTTATTTTTTTCTTGAAATCCAAAGAATTCTTATTACTTTATACGTAGGTTATCAATTCTGCATTATACAAAAAGACTCAAAAAGTTTTATCGACATGAGTGTTTTATATCGAAAAAAGTATAACTATTCTTTTTGAAAATCTTATTCATTTTTTAATTAGACTCAATATAGTAGAAAGAGTACCATGTTGCATCTGAACTTCAAACGGTTTAGCTTTAACCATGTTAATTAATGGTCCCAAATTTTTGGTTGGTAGAGAATCAAAGTAAAGTAGACTTACCAAATAATAACGAAATGCTATGTTTCTAAAATATGATTTTTTTATTTAATTTTTTATTCAGAAGTAATTCGCGGGATTAGGCACTCTTTCCTAGTTATAGTGCCACTGGGTGAATCCAGCCTATTCTTGAAATGAACAACTCACACACACTCCCTTTCCAAAAAAGACCAATACACCGAAGACTACACTTAGATTTATTGGATTAGTTGCTAAAATATCGGTATTAAACCCGAAACTCCCGGCGGATGGCCAGTGACCCAAATAAACGAAAGAATCGGTTAAATTTTTCATATAATCTCCTCTTCTAGCTAAACTATAAAAAAAACTCTGTCCCTTTTTTTATTCTTTTTATTTTCAATAAAAAGAAAATTCGATTTAATAATTTATAATTAAATTTACCTATTTGGATATTTGTAAACAGAATAAAAAACCTATTCTATTTACAAATGTATTTTCCAAAATTTTTCATTTTCAATAATAATAATGAGACTTATTAGAATTAAGCTATAATTTGAGACCAGGTTTTATGTCAATTTAAAAAAACCTAAATCTGCTTTTTTCGCAACACCCCTTAAAAAAAGTTTACATTAAACTAAAAGAATAAGGGGAAGGAAGAAAGCGAATCGATGTGCTAATTCCCCATCCTCAAATTAGTCCTTCCCAAGGGTTGTTGTCTCAATGAATAATTGTAGGAGTTAAATCTTGATAAAATTAAAAAAACTATGAAAAAAAATTATGAATTTTCTGATTTCTAGGATTAAACAAAAGGATTCGCAAATAAAAGCGCTAATGCTACAACCAGGCCATAAATTGTTAAAGCTTCCATAAAAGCCAAACTAAGCAATAAAGTACCTCGTATTTTTCCTTCTGCCTCAGGTTGTCTCGCGATACCTTCGACAGCTTGACCCGCAGCTGTACCTTGACCAACTCCAGGTCCAATAGAAGCAAGCCCAACAGCCAACCCAGCAGCAATAACCGAAGCAGCAGAAACCAGTGGATTCATGATAAGTTCCTCACACCAAAATAAAGAAATAGTTAATGATACAATCATCCAATGACTTAGGACTTAATTATAATTAAGTCATGGCTAAGATTAATATAGCCAAAATCACCAAAAACTTTAATTGAAATAATATAATTATATTATTGAATCATAAGAATTACTTGGATATTAGTTCCTATCCACGGGATTTTGAAAAATTCATAATATATATACGACTTTTTTTCAGCCAATTCACAGATAAAAAGGAAGAACTTCTAATCGAATCCTTATCTAAATCGAAATTCATAAAAGTAGTGGGGCAGATTATAGAGATCTTTAACTCATATATACCTAGTCAATATCAAATATCACATATACAAGTGTTTCTTACATAACGTAAACCAACTATTCTACAATTGGGCTAACGAATATTGAAAAAAAAAATAGTTAATGATGACCCTCCATAGATTCACCTATATAAGCTGCAGCTAAAGTGGCAAAAATGAGAGCTTGAATTCCGCTTGTAAATAATCCAAGGAACATGACAGGTATAGGAACCACTAAAGGTACTAAAGAAACAAGAACAACAACTACTAATTCATCGGCTAATATATTTCCGAAAAGTCGAAAACTAAGCGATAGGGGTTTTGTAAAATCTTCTAAGATGTTAATGGGTAAAAGAATTGGAGTTGGTTGAATGTATTTACTGAAATACCCTAATCCTTTTTTGCTAATACCCGCATAAAAATATGCTACTGATGTGAGTAAAGCTAAAGCAACCGTCGTATTTATATCATTCGTTGGTGCTGCTAACTCCCCTTGAGGTAATTGGATAATTTTCCACGGTAAAAGGGCTCCTGACCAGTTAGAAACAAAAATAAATAAAAACAGGGTTCCAATAAAGGGAACCCATGGACCATACTCTTCTCCAATCTGAGTTTGACTCACGTCTCGAATGAATTCAAGGACAAATTCAAAGAAATTTTGGCCGCCAGTTGGAATGGTTTGTGGATTGCGAACCGCTAAAGCTGCGGAACCTAATAAAATAGCAATTACAACCCAAGAAGTAATAAGGACTTGCGCATGGACTTGGAACCCCCCTATTTGCCAATAGAAATGTTGGCCTACTTCTACACCAGATATCTCATATAACCCTTCTTTTATTAGTGTGTTGATGGAACATGATAAAACATTCATATTGCCCTCTGACAGAAATAAGAACTTTAAATTATTTTGATTCAAGATCCCTCTTTTTTTTTACTTATTTACTTTAATTTTATATTTTAGAATTTAGTTTTGGATACCAACTAAACTAATCACATAATATCCCCAGTTTTTTATCTCTTTTTCTTTTGTACGATTAAGGAGTAGTAACCGATTTTATAAATCGAAATACAGAAAGCCCCCCCTCCCATAAAAAAAAATTTTTATTTATTTATCTTATTATTAATCAAGAATTTTGTATATAGCTAGAACGGCCCTCACAAATTGCGAATACTAATTTGTTAAGAATGAATCGAATTGAAGCTATAGCGTCATCATTTGCTGGAATAGAAATATCCGCGAGATCGGGATTACAATTTGTATCGATTAAAGAAATGGTTGGAATTCCCAAAGTTATACATTCTCGAAGAGCCGTATATTCTTCTTGCTGATCGATGATGATTACAATATCAGGCAATCCCGTCATATATTTAATCCCGCCTAGATATGTTTCCAAGCGAGATAATTGTCTCTTTAACACAGCTGCATCTCTTTTCGGAAGACGGTTGAATCCCTCTGTCTTTTGTTCAGTTCTCAAGTCCCTAAACTTATGAAGTCTTTTTTCGGTAGTGGACCAATTTGTTAACATGCCGCCGAGCCACTTTTTATTAACATAATGACACCGAGCTCTTATTGCAGCCCGCGACACTAAATCAGCTGCTTTATTTTTTGTCCCAACAATTAAAAATTGTTTTCCCCTACTTGCTGCATCAAAAACTAAATCACAAGCTTCTGATAAAAAACGAGCAGTTCTAGTCAGATTTATAATATGAATACCTTTACGCTTTGCAGAAATATAAGGTGCCATTCTCGGATTCCATTTCCTCGTACCATGTCCAAAATGAACTCCTGCTCTCATCATCTCTTCCAAATCGATGTTCCAATATCTTTTTGTCATTTCTTTTAACACTTAAAAAGTGGGGGGGTACCCCAAACTAAAATAAAAATTTGTTCCGACGGAACCTTCTCTTGTACCGGGGAGGGCCATTTATGCATGAGCCGAGCCATTATTTTGTATTCATTATTATCTTTATTAGTGTTAACAAATTACCAAAGCAAATGACTACAGCAAACAACAAAAAATGAAATTAAAAAGAGGAATCTGCTATTCTGCTATTAGGAATTAGTAAATTCTAGAAAAGGCAGATTTTGAAATAGACGAGTCACAAAATTCCCTGTGGTAGAATAAAATATCTCTCATATCTCCCTCGAATAACGATAAATTCTTTGTTTTTTTTTCCAAAAGAATGTTGGTATGTTGCCGTGAACAATGCACCAATCCTTTGTTGAATCCTGTACCGGCGGGGATCACCCCCCCTAGAACAACGTTTTCTTTCAGGCCTTTCAACCAATCGATACGACCCCGAAGAGCAGCTTTTGCTAAAACTCGAGCAGTTTCTTGAAAACTTGCTTCGGATATAAAACTTTGCGTATTCAAAGATGCGCGAGTTATTCCTAATAAAATAGCTCGATAACAGATTGCTTCTTCTAAAGCACGCCCCGTGCGTTCTGCTCGTAACAATCCAATCAGTTCTCCAGGTAAAAAAACATTAGAC